ATCTGATGGAACTGATAGATGCTTACAAAGTATTCCATCCTGTAACAGCACAATATACATTCTTATCAGCAGTCCATGGAACCTTCTCCAAAGTAAATCATATCTTAGGGCAAAAAAGCAAGTCTCAACAAATAGAAGTAAATTGAAATAACCCCCTGCATACTATCTGATCACAATGCAATAAAACTAGAACTGACTAGAACTTAATAACAAAAGCAGCAGCAGAAAATACACAAGCAATTAGAGAATGAACAACTCATTGCTCAATGATCAGTAGGTCATAGAAGAAATAAGGGAGGAAATAAAAAAGTTCCTGTTTTTTTTGGTGTGGTACTGGGGCTTGAACACAGGACCTCCTTCACCTTGAGCCACTACACCATTCCTTTTTTGTGATGGGTTGACTTGAGATAGGGTCTCATGAACTATTTGCCCAGGCTGGCTTTGAGCCATGATCCTCCTGATCTCTGCCTCCTAAGTAGCTAGGATTACAGTTTGTGAGCCACTGGTGCTTGGTGAAAACATTCCAACTAAATGAAAATGAAAGCACAACCTATCAGAACCCATGGGATACACCAAAGGCAGTCCTAAGAGGAAAGTTTATAGCCATGAGTGCATATATCAAAGATACAGAAAGATCTCAAGCAAACAACCTAATGCTACATCTCAGACTCCTAGAAAAATAAGAACAAGCTAAATCCAAAACAAGTAGAAGGAGAGAAATAATAAAAAATAAGGACTGAAATAATGAAATAGAGACCAAAAAAAAAAAATTACAAAGAATCAATGTGACAAAAAGCTGATTCTTTGAAAAAATAAACAAGATTGACAAACCCCTGGCATATCTGACTAAAGCAAGGAGGGAAAAGACCCAAATTAATAAAATTAGAAACGAAAAAGGGAAGATAACAACAAACACCAAGGAAATCCAGGGAATCATCAGGGACTACTTTGAGAAACTATATTCAAATAAATTGGAAAATCTAGAAGAAATGGGCAAATTTCTGGATACTTATGACTATCCAAAACTGAATCAAGGAGGATATTAATCACCTAAACAGATCTAATAAGATGCAATTAAATTGAAACAGCATTAGAGTCTCCCCGAAAAGAATAGTCTGGGACCTGATGGATTCTCCGTTGAATTCTACCAGACCTTTAAAGAAGAACCCCTTAAGCTTTTCCATGAAATAGAAAGAGATAGAACACTGTCCAACTCATTCTATGAAGCCAGTATTACACTCATCCCAAAATCGGCCAAGGGCACATCCCAAAAAGAGAACTACAGACCAATCTCCCTAATGAATATCAATGCAAAAATCCTCAATAAAATAATGGCAAACTGAATTCAACAACATATCAGAAAGATCATTCACCATGACCAAGTTGGCTTCATCCGGGGATGCAGGGATTGTTCAACATATGCAAATCATTAAATATAATACAGCATATTAACGGAAGCAAAGACAAAAACCACCTGATCATCTCAGTAAATACAGAAAAAGCCTTTGATAAAATTCAGCACCATTTCATGATAAAAGCTCTGATGAAACTAGGAATAGAAGGAACATACCTCAACATAATAAAGGCTATATATGACAAACCTATAGTAAACATCATACTTAACGGGGTAAAGCTAAAACTATTTCCCTTAATGTCAGGAGTCAGACAAGGGTGCCTCTTCACTCCTATTCAACGTAATCTTGGAATTCTTAGCCAGGGCAATAAGGCAGGACGAAGAAATAAAAGGAATACACATAAGTGAAGAAATAAAAGGAATACACATAAGTAAAGAAGAAGTCAGACTACCCTTTTTGCAGGTGACATGACCTAAAAGATCCAATAAACTCCATCAAAAAATCCTATACACCGTAAATAGCTTCAGCAAAGTAGCAGTATACATAATCAATTTACAAAAATCAATAGCCTTTCTATGCACCAACAGTGAACAGATTGAGAGAGAATATTGGAAAATAATTCCATTTACAATAGCTTCAAAAAACCTCAAATGCCTAGGAATAACCTTAACAAAGGATGTAAATGACTTCTACAAGGAAAACTACAAACCACTGAAGAAAAAAGTCGAAGATTACAGAAGATGAAAAGATCTCCCATGCTCATGGATTGTCAGATCAACATAGTAAAAATGGCTATACTACCAAAAGTAATCTACATGTTCAGTGCAATTCCCATCAAAATCCCAATGACATTCATCATAGAAATTGAAAAATCAACCCTAAGGTTCATTTAGAAACACAAAAGACCGTTAATAGCCAAGACTATACTGAGCAAAAAGAGCAATGCTGGAGGTATCAGAATACCTGACTTCAAACTATTCTATAGAGCCATAGCAATAAAAACAACATGGTACTGGCGCAAAAACAGATATGAAGACCAGTGGAACAGAATAGAGGACCTGGATATGAATTCACACAGTTGTGCCCACCTTATTTTTGACAAAGGTGCCAAAAACATACGATGGAGAAAAGACAGCCTCTTCAACAAATGTTGCTGGGAAAAGTGGTTATCTGCCTGCAGAAAGCTGAAACTAGATCCGTGTTTGTCACCCTTTACAAATATCAACTCAAAATGGATTAAGGACCTTAATATCAGACCTGAAACCTTGAAGCTAGTACGGGAAAGAGCAGGAAGCAATAGACGTAGGCAAGGGCTTCCTCAGTAGAACACAAGTGACTCAGCAACTAAGAAAGGATGGACAAATGGGACTACATGAAAATAAATAGCTTCTGCACAACAAAAGAAATGGTCTCTAAACTGAAGAGACCACCCACAGAGTGGGAGAAAATCTTTGCTAGCTATACATCAGACAAGGGACAGATAACCAAAATATACAGGGAGCTCAAAAAACTAAATTCCCTTAAAATCAATGACCCAGTAAAGAAATGGGCAAATGAACTGAACTGAACTGAACTTTTTTAAAGGAAGAATTCCAAATGGCTAAAAAACACATGAAAAATGCTCACCATCCCTGGCCATAAAGGAAATGCATATCAAAACCACACTAAAATTCCACCTCACTCCTGTTAGAATAACTACCATCAAGGACATCACCAACAACAAATGGTGAGGATGCAGGGATAAAGGAATCCTCATAGATTGCTGGTGGGAATGTAAGCTAGTACAACCAGAGTGGAAAACAGTATGGAGGCTTCATAAAAAAACTAGAAAGAAATTTGCCATATGATTCAGCAATACCACTCCTAGGGATATACTCGAAGTAATGTGAGCCTATGTTTATTGTGGCATTATTCACAATAGCTAAGCTCTAGAAACAGCCAAGATGCCCCACTACTGACGATTGTATTAAGAAAATGTGTTATTTATACACATGTGGAATTTTATTTGGCCACAAAGAAGAATGAAATTTTGTCATTCTCAGGTAAATGGGCAGAACTGGAGAACATCCTCTTAAATGAAGTTAGTCAGGTTCAGAAGGCTGGAAGCCGCATGTTCTCCCCCATATGCGGGTTGTAGACCTAAAACAAATGGAGCAGTCTTATGGCATATGGTCACACTAAGGGGAGTCTGTGCAAGGGAGGAATAGGGGAAGGGAAGGAAACAAAAAACTTGAATGAGGTTGATGTGCTCACTGTACAGGAATGAATATAGAAATTTTAAACTGGTTGGGGCCACCATGGGAAGCAGACTATGGAGGAGTGAAGAGGACTGGAAGAGGCAATTAATTGGAGCTGTAATACACATATTGCATGGGAACAACACAAGGAAATTCCCTGTGTAGCTATCTTTATCTCAGACTTGCAAAACGTCATGTTTCTTGTTTGATCAAAATCAGAGAACAGGAGGGTGGATCAGGTTCTTTGAGGGCCGGTGGAGGGGTAGGAAGATGAATATGGTTCAAATAGTGTATACACATGTATGTAAATGTAAAAATGTTATCTGTTAAAACTGTTCCAGGAATCAGGGGAGGGGGAATGAAGGAAAGAAGTGGAAGCTGGTGGATTCAAGCATGATATATTTGATACATTGCAAAAACCTTTGTTAATGCTACACATGTACCCACACGGAACACAACAATGAAAAACAAAATGTTCCAGTCCTTAGAAAAGAACAACAAAAACCCCACAGTTGTGATTTGCTTAAAACTTACAGACCTTCTCTCTGTCTGTGGAGGCTCTGTGTGAGATAGCAGGGTGGGGAGTTATTCAATATTGGTTTCTTTGTACTTTATTTTTTATTAGAATTTGGTAGTAATTTATTGGATTTTAGATATTTGTATTTAAAATGACATACCAACTCCTAAAAACCTAACCAGTGAAAAACCAAATACCTGTTATAAAATTACCTGAAAACTCACTTTGAATCTCCTAGTACAAATTATAAATGAAGTGGTTTTAATCAGGTTTTCTAGATAGATTTCCTGATGAAACATTAGTGAAATAAATTTTCCTAATTTTTGCCTCTGGGTGTGTTACTAATTGTGTGTAATTTATAGTGATTATTGATGGGAAAGGAGAGGGACCAAAATGGGTATAATAAACCAGAGATTGAAAAATGCAAGCTCCAAGGTTTGTGTCCACTCTGAGCCTGTTTCAGCTTTTAACTTTTGTGTCGCTTATCTCCTGTTTACATTGTTTTGTGTAGTTCACAGAGGTGATAATTTATAACTGAAATACTGAATTAGAGGCAATTACAGAACTGCTCTAGATCTTTATTAGTAGCAGGATAGTGGGCAGTGATTTACCTAAGATAACCCTATATTTGTTTTGTTGGAAGATATTTTCATTTTCATATTCTAAGTCTTATGTAACATGTGCTATCTAAGTTTGAAGGTTTCTTAAAAATCTTTTTTACAGCTGGGCTTTTTTCTTTTTTAATTTTCTTAGTGAATCTTTTATTGTCAGGGAGGGCAAGGAAGAATGTGTGTGGGTAGTTATTGTGATCTAAAATTTAGAAAGAAGTTATAGTGCTGTTGGAAGAAGTAATGTCTTCAATGTGTTTTTCTTTGATTTTTCTCACGGAAGCTGGTAGGAGGGCAGTTTGATTTGGAGATGAATTTCATTATCCAAGAAGGTGAGAGTATCACGTGCATGGTGGATTTACTGGAAAAATGTGATGTCACTTGCCAAGCAGAAGTCTGGAGCATGTTTACTGCCATTCTGAAGAAGAGCATACGAAATCTTCAAGTGTGCACGGAAGTGGGCCTTGTTGAAAAAGTTCTTGGGAAGATTGAAAATGTTGACAGCATGATTGCAGGTATGACTTTTTCTGTAGTACAGACTATATGAAGGAATAAAGTTTGATATTTAAATATTATCTTTTTCATTAAGCAACTTTTATTTAAGAGATATTTGAGCTTGTAGTATGTATTAGAACTTTGGTATATAGGCCCTTAAATAAGCACATGTATTAACTCTTTAAGAAGTAGTTTAACTAGTTTAATTATTGTATTTTTTTTTTCTTTCCAGATCTTTTAGTTGACATGTTGGGAGTGCTGGCTGGCTATAACTTGACAGTTCGAGAACTAAAGCTTTTCTTCAGTAAACTTCAAGGAAATAAAGGACAATGGGTAAAACAGTAACAACAAAACCCCCTAAATACTGTGGGATTTGAAAGTGCCTCTCTTCTGATACATTAGTAGCTTATCAGTGACTGATACAGTTGCACACGGAGTAAATGTCAAAGTGAGGAGAAGAGATCAAGTAAAATAGATTTCCTGGTATTGTCTCACAGGGCACTGAGATCTGTTCATTTTTTTCCCAGTGGTTTCTCTTTATGGAGTAAATGTCAAAGGAGAAGAGATCAAGTAAAATAGATTTCCTGGTATTGTCTCACAGGGCACTGAGATCTGTTCATTTTTTTCCCAGTGGTTTCTCTTTATGCTTCATTTTAGTTTATTTTTAAGTTTTTTTTGGTGGCACTGGAGTTTGAACTGAGGGGCCTCATGCTTGTTAGGCAGGCGCTCTTATCGTTTGAGCCAGTTCTGTGGTTCATTTTAGATTGGTTTTATTGCTGTAGGATCAACTTAACTTTTATTTCTTTTGCACTGTCTTAATTCTATCCATTGAAAATTTAAAATGTTTAAAAAAATCTTTTATGTTCACATTTTCTAGGCTCTCAGCAATGTTCAACCCTTGCCAATGTTAACGACAATAATAGTTGCTTCAGTTTTATTCTCTACTGATTCTATAATCTTGTCATTTTCTAGGTCAGTTTTTTATTCACTGATTTTTTTTTTTTGGTCGAGCTGGGGTTTGAACTCGGGGTTTGAACTCAGGGTTTTGTGCTTGTAAAGCAGGCACTCTATTGCTTGAGTCACACCTCTAGCCCATTTTTCTCTGATTGGTTTGGAGATGGGTCTCGTGAACTATTTGGCCAGGTTAACCATGAACCTCAGTATTCCCGATCTGAGCCTCCCGAGTGGCTGGGATTATAGGTGTGAGGCAACAGCGCCTGGCTTACTCATTGATTTTGTTTCTATTTATATATAGGTCACATTTTACTGCTTAAGGATTTTACACACAGTGATGTGATATTAGATACAGTGAATTGTATGTTGTTAAGTACTGAATTTTGTCACATTTCTTTCAAGATTTTTTTGTAGGTATATAATTGTTCCTGGTTTGGTTCCATTATTCTCCCTCTACTTCCACTCCCTTCTTAAAATGACTCTTAACAGGTTTCAATTTTCTGTATTCATACATGTATAGAAAATACATCAACCATGTTCACCCTCTTTTACCCTCCACCTCCTACTAATACCCTCTCCTGAATATGACTTGTTTTATATTCTTGTCCTTCATTGTTTAAGTTTCCATTATTCAGTGGGGTTTTGCCTTGGACTTTACATGTAAATATATGTACTTTAATCAGTCTAACCCTCTCTATTACTCTTCGCTTACCCTTTCCTCCCTACTCTCTTTTGCATTATTTTCTTTTCTCCTCCTCCCTCCCCCTTTTTTTTAAGGCAGGTTCTCACCATGTAGCCAGGCTGGCCTGGAACTCATAGTCCTCCTGCCTCAGCCTTTGGAGTGCTGGGGTTATAGGCCCATGACTGACTTCAGCTAGGTTTACACTGTTAATCCTAGGGTTGGTTTAGCCTTACTCTTGATGCCTGGCTCTTCTAGAGTCCCTACTGAATTACTCTAAGTCTCAGACATGAGACAGTGATAGTACAAGGTTGTGGTCTTTGAATGGTGTCTAATAGGTCCTGAAACAACTCCTAGATCTGTACTAGTTCAGGGAATTCTTTGATTTACAGCTCCTAGTGTCTCAGCCCTACCTTGTTGAGATTTACAATTAAGTTTAAATTTGTTATTGAGCAAGATTTCTGGAGCCTTTTCTCTGAATAGCACCTTTCTCTTGCAGTACTCTATCTTGAAACTTACATCCATCTCAGACTTCCCGTACTCAAGTTCTTGCTCTGCAACTCAGTGATTCCTTCAAGTTTTATTTGGCCTTGGCTTTTCCCTCCCTCTCTCCCGCCCTCCCTTCCTTTCTCCCTCCCCCATCTCTTTCTTCCTCTCCCCCCTTTCTTCTTTCCTCTCTTTCCTCCCTTTCTCCTTCATTCCCTCCCTGCCTTCCTTTTTCATGGTACTGTGGTTTGAACTCAAAGCATTGCATTTGTTAAGTAGGCATGCTACTATTCGAGTATTTTTCGAATCAGGACTCAACTGTTTATGCCTCGGTAGACCTACCTGGATGGAAATCCTTTTGTTAATGTTAACATGTAGCAGGGATGACAGGTTCATGTCACCACACTCAACTTTTATTGGTTGAGATGGGGTGTCACTGAATTGTTGTCCAGGCTTGCCTTGGATTGTGATCTTTCCAGTCTGTGCCTCCTGAGTAGCTGAGATTACAAGTGTGTAACACCACGTTTGGCTGGAAATAGGGTTATTTTAAACCCATGTGTTTTTGTTGGAATGAACACCAAGTGGAGCCGACCTCAGGTGGGAGTCTCGTCACATAATACACTCATATCCAGTGACTTAATAGTTCTCTCTTCAGTGCCTACTCAGGAAAGTCTCACATAGTTCCATAAAGAAATATACATGAGGATGTCCACTGAAACGTATTTTTGGTGGCAGTGAATTATCTGTGAATGTGTGTGTTCATGAGTAGGAGAGTGGATAGGTAAAGTGGATTGAAGGCACAGAATAGAGTATTTTATGCAATTAGAACCATTGCATGGATTATATGAGTAGATGCAATGCATAGGAAGAAAGTAACAAGCAGAACAATACATCTAACAGAACACCAGTTAATGCTAATAACACAGAAGTTCTCCAGACTCCATCCCAATCAATAAAAGCTGGGTGTGGTGATACTTGCCTATAATCCCAGCTAGGCAGGGAACATAAATAGAATTTCAGTCCAGGGTGGCTGGGCCATAAATGTGAGACCTTATTTGTAAGCGCAGCTCAAATCCCAGTACCACCAGAGGACTGAGACATTCATTATTATTATTAGACATTTGGGTTACTTCTGACTTTTGCTTTCATAGTAGTGTAGTGAAAAAGAAAAACCCTGTAGCTAAATCTATATCCACCTTTCTGATTACTGCTTTAGCATTGACTTTTTTACGTGTGGAATCAGTGCATCAGTGGATGTGACCAGTTTTTAAAAGACTCTTGATATGACAACTAAATTTTTTTTCTGAAAGAGTTTCCACTATACGTATTTTGAGTAGTGTCTGTGGCAAAAGGTGCTTTTCTTCTTTGTTCATTGGTTTATAGGAATGGATATTTGGAGGAATGGTTTCTCTATATGGAAATGCTACAATACTGTATTTGCCTTTGTGACTGCAGAGTTGTTTGGTTACTTTATTTCACTTTGGAATTTTTTTTAAAGCAATCAGTGTGATTGTGGTTGCTTATGATTGTGGTTACTTGTTACTAACTATATACTTTGTAACTGAGCAGTGTGGTTGATTGAAGATTTCTTGATCACTTAAGAGTGAAGCTTTCCTTTTAACATTTAGAATAAAAGGTTGTTGAACTTTTATACAGTTAGTAATGATAACTTACAACAGCAATCAAAACAAGATGAGGGCAAACTAATAATTTTACTTGTAGTTAGACCTTGTTTTGAACTTTTAACTAAAAGGGATGTCCTGTACTTTGTCAATTTGCTTATCAACTGATTAAAATGATAATGTATATGCAATTGTCCTTTACCTTTTCTTATAAGTGCAAATGTGATTTTACATTTTAGTTCTTTGTTGTTTCATGTATTAGAGACTTGGGAGCAAAGAAACATGAATCACTTAGACGCGTCATAACTTATACATGCTGTGTAGTAGAAGCATATTATAGAATAAAATATGATAGGAAAGTTTAACCTACCTTTAGGGTTTAGGGAACACTGCTTTGGGAATGTGGCCATTGTGCTGAGCTCTGAAGGATCTGGGAGAGTTCCTTGGTTTGGAGGAGAGTAAGTAGGCTTACTCAGCACATTTTAAGTAGAAGGTGTAGTTTATACTCAGTCCCTTTTGTGGAAAGAAGACTGAGAAGTCATTGTGGAGGGAGTACAGAGAGCAGGGGAAAGTGAGATGCAAAATGAGGCTAAAGAGGTAGATAAATATCTTACAGGCCATTTTAAGGTTTGGTGCCTGTTTTAAAGGCAGTAAGAAGCTGTTGGAGAGAGCATAATATCAGTGGTGAAGGTGTCATGGTTAAAACTATGACCTCTGGAGTTAAGACTGAATTCAGATCCTGGTTCTTCCAGTTACTGCCTCTGTGATCTACAGCATGTTCTGCTTCACCTTCTTCCTCTATACAATTGGGATAACATTGGGATCACACCATAGGATGGCTATGAGGTGAAAATATTACACTGTATTTAAAATACTTTTAACTTTGGAACATAAGTAAACATTACTTAAGTGTTTGATAAATTCAAAAGTGTTTTAGAGAGGGGTGAGTGGTGGATTGATGTAATTTGTACTTTTGAAAGATCATTTTCTCTGTAGTGTAGAGAAGAGTTTTCAAGTGTCAAATATTGACTCGCATTTACCAAACACCTAATATGTCTTACAGTATTACAAAAATGGCATAGAATGCATTATTTCTTTAAGATAGTTGAAAATAGCGTTGTGGTTATTATATATGTTTTTAGGTTATAGCATTATTTATTATTGTGTGTATTAAAACATGACCATATATTAAAATGAGTGTTTTGTTTTGTGGTGAATGATGCGTTTAATGATTTTCGTAGCCTCCACATGCTGGGAAGCTGCTGTCTGTGTTAAAGCATATGCCTCAGAAGTATGGGCCTGATGCCTTTTTCAACTTCCCAGGGAAGAGTGCTGCAGTAAGTATATTAATGAGGAAATCACTCAGTTTTCCTTTCTTTTGCATTCTGAAGGTGCAACCCTGTAAACACCATGGCAGGTTCTGTGTTAGGTAGAAGCTTCTCTGCATTAATCATTATGAAGTTGAGCTTGTTCCTTTTTCCTAGTTGTTAGGGAAGTGAAAGTGGTTGAAAAAGATGCCCACTCACAGCTTGGGTCAGCCATGAAATAAAAGTCTAATTTTTTTGTATGTATCCATGTGTTCCTATGAAAATATCTCAGCAACCTTAAGTAGCTGTTTGTATATAATTTCTTCACTTTCTTTTTGACCATCTTTTTCTAGTCATAAATTTTTTCACCCCTGTTTCTTTTACAACTGGTATACACAATGAGAGTAACTCTTTGAAACTTCCAGGCAAGTTTTCCTGAGTTATGAGTGAATTATTACCAATGTTTTTATTTGTTTGTTTGTTTTGCTTTGTTTTTAGAGACAGGTCTATCTATGTAACCCCAGGCTGGCCTTGAACTCACTGTGAAGCCCAGGTGGGCCTTGAACTCATGATCTTCCTTCCTCATCACTCTCCTGAGCGCTGGGATCATAGGTGTTCATCACCCTACCTGGCTAAAACAAGAATTTTTCTTTTTTCTAGTGTTGGGGATTCAACCCTAGCCTGGTGTAGGCTAGGCAAATACTCTACCACTGAATTATATCCCTAGTCCCTTCTAGTAATGTTATTTTTGTTTGTGAGTTTATAAATAAGACAATTAGGTATGATTGTGATATCTATAATGGTTCAAACTATTACAGGAGCACATTATATACTGTGTGTGTGTGTGTGTGTGTATATGTATATATATATATAAAATATATATATATATATATATATATATATATTTTTTTTTTTTAATGGAAGCTTTTTAAATCTCATTATCATAGTGGTCAGTAAGCCAAAACCCGTTTGTTGTTTTTTTAAAGGATAAAAAACTTTTTATTCTGTTCTTTGTCCAAACTAATCTTTCATTCATTTTTAACTTGAGTAATCATAACATCTTGCTTGCTTATTAGGCCTGGTGTAGCCAGACAATATCTATGTAAAGATAAGTATATGTTTTAAAAGGACACTTGTGATATTATGTTTTTTCTTTTTTTTTTTAATGGGACTGGGGTTTGAACTCAGGGCTTCATGCTTGCAAAGCAGGCACTCTACCGGTTAAGCCACACCTCCAGTTCAAGTTTTCAGTTGTTTTATTTTGCTTTTCTCTTGCCCTATTGCTCAGGCTGGCCTGGAGCTCACAATCCTCCTGCCTCAGCCTTTTGAGTAGCTAGCTTATTTATAATATTTGAATGTTATATGTAGAATACTCTGTTCTACCAGAAAAAGAAAGTATTCATGGATAAATTGTTTTTACAGAACTTTCACATTAACTCTGTTTTAGTGAGAGTAAACATATGTATATACTAAAATGTCATATTTTATTTTTTTCTCAATGCAACCTTTATCTAAAAATCAGCCAGTCAAGTCTCAACAGTGTTACTACATTAATTTGGTTCTGTGATGTCTCTCATGTTTTATGGCATATCTGATACATCTAAAATAAAATATATAGATGTGTGTACCTACATGCATATGTAAGTTATAATAAGGCTTTCATAGTATTATTTTTAAGTTTTATTGAGATATAATTCACAATACTATACATAACTTACTTGCAGTATGCAATTTAATGGGTTAATGTGTTTACAGTTAGTTTTAGAACATTCTCATCACCTCCACAGAAACCATTGCTGGTCACAATCTGTTTCTATGGATTTGTCTGTTCTGGACCATGCATAGAAATGAAATCATATACCATGTGGTCTTTTGGGATTTGATTTTTTACCTAGCACAGTATTTTCAGGGTTCATTCATGCTATCACTTGCATCATCAGTACTTCATTCCTTTTTTATGGCTGATATTGTGTGGACCTATCACACTGTTGTTTAATCATTCATCAATGAATGAATGTTTAGTGTTTCTACTTTTTGGGCTCTTAGCGATAATGCTACTATGGACTTTTGTGTACAATTTATTATTTGGAGATCAGTTTCATTTGTATTGAGTATGTACTTAGAAATGCAATTTCTGGGCCATAGGGTCTTTGTTTAACAATTTGAGGAAGTGCCTGAGTATTCTACAAAGTGACTGTATCATTTTGTAATCTCATCAGCAGTGTATGAAGTTTCCAGTTTCTGTAAATCTTTGTCAACACTGGTTCATATCTGTCTTTTTCATTATAGTTATAATAGTGGGTATAAAGTGTTATCTTATGTGTGTGCACATACGTGTTTTCTGTTTTTGCCAGTGCTAGGGATCCATCTCAAGACTGTGTGTGTGCTAGGCAAGTGCTTTACTACTGAGCTACATGCCTCCAGCTCTGTCATTGGAGTTTTGATTTATATCTCCTTAATGACTAATGATGTTGAGACTCATGTTTTTATTGACCATTTGTGTATCTTGCAGACATGCTATTCTTACCTTTTGTCCACATTAAAATTGTACTGTCTTTTTATTACTGAGCTATAAGAGTTCTTTATGCATTTTGGATGCAAGTCCTTCATCTGGTACTTGATTTGCCGTATTTTCTCCTATCATATGGCTTGACTTCACTTTTTAAATGGTGTCCTTAAAAGGACAGTTTATAATTCTGTGAAGTTCAATGTGTATGTACTTTCTTTTGTGACTTGTGCTTTTGGTGGCATAATTAATTAGGGCTTGACAACCTAAGGTCACAGAGACCTTACACCAGTACCACATAGTCTTCATTACTGTAGCTTTCTAGTAGTTTTTTTTTTTTTAAATTAAATTACTTTTATTGTTTTGCTTTTGTTTTGGTGGTACTAGGCCTTGAACTCAGGCCTTGTGCTTGTTAGGCAGATGCTCTGCCACTTGAGCCACACCTCCAGGCCTGAGGTAGGTTTTCAATTTGGTGGTATAAGTCATCCAATTTTGTTCTTCCTTTTAAAGACTGGCTATTTAAGATACGTTCCATTGTATAATTTGATCTTTTAAATAAAAATTTAAACGGAATGGGAAGCCATTAGTAAAATGACTTTTGAATGAAATTTGAAAATTTTTAATGAACTAATCCTCTTTAGTTTTACACTTGTGGTTTATAAAAAGAAACTTTTACCAAGCTTTTTCTTTAACTTTTTTCTTTCCATTCTTGTCTGTCTTTATCAAATTTTCTCTTTTTATCAGATTTCTAATTTTATATCACTGCCTATCTTTCTTAATTTTAATCTCTGGATATGTTTGTTGTAAGAAATGAAGTAGATATGATTTGTGTTTCTTGTAGGTTACACTGAATGTTGCTTTCATTTAATCAAATTATCATTACTTTGGGAAAATTCAAAAGTTTAAAAAAATCTTTTAGACTCTGCTTTCAGATATTTTAGTCATGACATAAAGTAATATTTAGTAGAAATATATATATATGTAAATATATATATATATAACATCATAAAGTCTCATTTTCATGATTTCAATGATAAGATTTTTCATGCAAGTCAGTAATTCATTGTTCCTTCATTTAGGCTATTGCATTACCTCCCATAGCCAAGTGGCCATACCAGAATGGTTTTACTTTTCACACCTGGCTGAGGCTGGATCCTGTAAATAACATCAATGTAGATAAGGATAAACCCTATTTGTATTGGTATGTATTTCTATAACTGATTAGTGTTAAGGTCTGGCTTTGAAAATGAGTATATTTATAGGTAAAAAATCAAAACCTATTCTTCATAGTTTCAGAACCAGCAAAGGTCTTGGTTATTCTGCTCATTTTGTTGGAGGCTGTTTGATTATAACATCAATAAAATCAAAAGGAAAAGGGTTTCAACATTGTGTGAAATTTGATTTCAAGCCACAGAAGGTATGTATGTAATCTTACGGAGCAGTAGTTATGTTAATAAGCTCTGTGAGCTCTCAGAGTGCTCTATTTTAATGGTACTCATATAACATGGTATTTTGCAACCCAGTTTAACTGTTTCAAAAATGGAGTGTCAATCAGTAGATAATTGTTAACCTCACTGATTTGGATCATAAAATGATTGGATATTTAGTTACTTACAAAATATAAGGAAAATACAAAGAGAAGATACCAGTGGTAATTGTTTTAGTAGTGCAAATTTAATATGTTTTCTTTTGTACCTTAAAATTTAGAGATTAGTAAATGATTCATCAACAAAATGTGTAGATAGGTATGTAGTCATATACATGGGAAACTTTTCACATTTGAAAGAAACTAGTAGATTTTTGGAGTATGTTTGAAAATTTATATTAAAAGGTTGGAAAAATTATTTAGCAATTAAGTTCTTGTTAGTCAAGGACCTTCCTGAATAAATTTTGTTCTAGAAGTTGATACTGGATTTAATAAAGGTACTTTAATTTTATTTTTAAGATTAGTTATAGTTTACCATTTTTACTTAATTATTGGGAAAGTAATTTTTTGCTTTTCCAGTGGTACATGGTAACTATAGTTCACATTTATAACCGATGGAAGAACAGTGAGCTTCGATGCTACGTGAATGGCGAGCTCGCCTCCTATGGAGAGATCACATGGTTTGTCAATACCAGTGATGTAAGTAGTTTCAAAATATTACTGCCAAAATTATTCTGGATAGAGCAGATATAAGGATTTATATGTATCAGTGGCTATATCCTAACGCCATTTGGGTCATTGGTTCTCTGATCAAAATAAATTTTAGCTTTACTATAGGGCTCTGATCATTTTTATGAATGAGTGAGATGATAAAGGCCCATAAATATTTATATGGTTTTCAGCATTCAAAGAGATAGGTTAGAATGAAATTAGAAATGGTCTTACTTTTCCCTAACAACATTCATTTTATAGAAAACTTTAAAAAAATCCAAAAACCTAAAGAATATTACCACAAACTCTACCACCCATCCACATTCACTCTTTGCTACACCTACATACATATTACATAACATTAACCTTAAGAACTCAGAGTGTTATATCAGACATACTTAATTTTGAATCCCAATTCTGTCAGTTATTGATTATACCATGATACTTAGTCCACAGCCTCAGATTTTTTCCACCTGAAAATGGGCAAAAAGTGGTATGTACCCCAGCAGGTTGTTGTGATGATTAAATGTGATAAGGTACAGAGATCTGTTAGAGTGCATTGCAAAGGATGTGCAAGCAATGAATGTCAGCAATCTCTTTTTTAATATATGAAAGGGCTCAGAGAGAAAGCTGATTCAATAAGTCCCTAACCAAGCTCATTATTTTGCTTGCTGTGGCAACACATGCTCTTCTTTTTGAATTTTTGGTTGCTCAGCTAGAAACCTGCAGAGCTGTAATGATTTCCCTGATTCCTTTTTTTTTTCACCCCCAAATTGTCTTCAGTTGTACTTACTGTATTTTGGAAAACTTGTGTTATCTCCTTTTACATGGTATCTGTTCAGATCTGTACTCTAGACAGCAGTGAGTGAAGTGAAATGCAAAATGAATTACTGTTCTATTCAAACATAGTTTAGAAAGGACAAGATATTTACACCAATGCAGGTGTTTATTATTCCTGGAAGGTATAGTTTTTTTTTTTATAACCTTCTGTTTTCTTTACAGACCTTTGACAAATGTTTCCTGGGCTCTTCGGAAACAGCAGATGCTAACAGAGTATTCTGTGGCCAGATGACCTCGGTTTACCTTTTCAGTGATGCTCTTAATGCAGCTCAGATTTTTGCTATTTACCAGTTGGGTCTGGGATACAAGGTACTTTATTTAGTGTTCACTGCTTAGCTAGTGTTCATTGGGCTCCATGTGGGTTATGCATGGGGAGGTTCACCTTGAGTAGTTAAATTATACATCAGAGTTACCAGAAGTACCTGCGGGATGTCAGAGGGGTCTTAAGGATGCTTCAGAGTTTTGAGAGAAATATGGTATACTTGACCTATGTGGGGCACTGAGCAAGCTATGAATGAGCTTGAGTTTCAGTTTTATTTCATGCTTCATTTCTTTTGATGATGTCCTATCTTTTAAAAGTTGACATGTAAGATTGTAGCTACTCATGTGGTACCATATGATTAGGTATTTATATATATTTACCTACCTACCTACCTATACCTACATACATGTTACGTAATGTTCATATAGACATATCTGTATATCTGTATCTATCTGTCCATCCATCCATCCATCCATCCATTCATCCATCAATACACCTATCCTGTGTAAACCTCAAAGCATATCTGTCTCCTTTAGTATTTCTTTTTTCTTTTTTTTCTGGGGTGGGGGTGGGAGACAGTACTGGGGATTGAAATCAGGGCCTTGGGTGTACCACTTGAACCACGTTCCCAGCTCTTATTGCTTTAGTTTGTTTTTAATAGTGTCTCATGCTTTTGCTGAGACCAGCCTCAGTCTGTGGTCTTCCTACCTCTGCCTCCTGAGTAGCTGGGATTGCACCACCACACCTGGCCATTTATCATTTCATTATGGTGAAAACATTAAAAATCCTTTTTTCTAGCTTTTTTGAGGTGCATAGTTATTTTACTGTGCACACCAGAACTTTATCCTGTTCAACTATATAACTTAGTACCCACTGGTCAACTTTTCTCTATCTCTCTCTCTCCTCACTACTCTCCCTAGTCTCTGGTAACCATCATACCATTATTCTACTCTCAGCTTGTAAGAGATCAGTATTTTTTAGAGTCCACATATGAATGAGATCATGCAGTATTTGTCTGTGCCTGGCTTATTTCACTTAACCTTTGTCCACCAGTTCCATCAGAAATGACAAATGGTATCAGAAATGACAAATTTCATCTTTTTAAATAACTGAATACTATTCTTTTTTGTATATATACCGTATATTTTTCATCCATTTATCTGTTAGTGGACACCTAGTTGTTTCTATTTCATGGCTATTCACAATACAGTAATAGTAAGAAACTTTAGTAATCAAGTTCCAATAGTGGATAGAACAACCATACAGAAGATCAGTAAGCAAACAGAGGATTTGAACAGCAGTGGATGATCCAGCAATACCAGTCCTGGGAGATATACCCAAGGGAATGCGACACAGATTACTCCAGAGGCGCCTGCACACCCATGTTTATTGTAGCGCTATTCACAATAGATAAGTTATGGAAACAACCAAGATGCCCCACACTGAAGAATGGATCAAGAAAATGTGGTATTTATACACAATGGAATTTTACTCAGCTGTGACGAAAAATGAAATCTTATTATTTGCAAACAAATGGATGGAACTGGAGAACATCATTTTGAGCAAGGTTAGCCAGGCTCAGAAGGCCAAAAATCGTACGTTCTCCCTCAAATGTGGACTTTAGATCTAGGGCAAATGCAATACTGTTGTTGGACTTGGGGAGAGCACATACGGGAGGAATGGGAATAGGTAGGAAACCCAAAACATGAAAGTGTTTGATGTCCCCACTGCAGAGGAGCTAATACGAAACCTTAACACAACAGAGGTCAATATGGGAAGGTGATCAGGAACTACTGAAAAGGTCAGGTAGAGATGAATCAGTTTGGGTTGTAACACGTTTGTACATGAAAGCGATGCTAGGAATCTCTCTGTATAGCTATACTTATCTCAGCTAGCAAAAACGCTTTGTCTTTCTTATTATTGCTTATGCCTTCTTTTCAACAAAATTGGAGAAGAGGGCAGAACAGGTTCTGCCTGGAAGTGAGGGGGGGTGGGGGAGAGAGGGAGGGAATGGGGGGCAGGGGGGAGAAATGTCCCAAACAATGTATGCACATGTGAATGAATTAATAAAAAACTAAAAAAAAAGAACAGCAGGTAGACCAGTTAGACTTAGCAGGCTTATGCAGAACGTTGCACACAGCAACAGTACAATGCATATTTTCTCAAATGCACACAGACCATTCTCAGGACAGGCTGTGTGGTGGGCTACAAAACAAGTAGTAACAAATTTAAGGAAATTGAAATCACACCAGTCACCTTTATTGACCACAGTGGAATGAGACTAGAAATCTAAGGAAATCTGGAAACTCCACAAATATTTCGAAATTAAACAATGTACCTTAAATAATCGATGGGTCAAAGCAGAAGTGGCAAGGAAAATAAGAAATTATCTTGACAAATGGAAATGAAAATATGACATGTTAAAACTTACCTGATTCAGCAAAAGTAGTGTCAAGAGAGAAATTCATGGTGGTAAAGAGTAACATTATATGGAGGAATCCTTTTATTTGATATTGTTAGAAAAGTTAACAGTATCATATTTCCTTAAATTTTTATATCTGTGTTGATGTATTTTTAGATTTATCTTGTGTGGTAGATCACCTTAATTGTTCTCTATTTTATTAACTCACAGGGTACGTTTAAGTTCAAAGCAGAAAGTGACCTTTTTCTAGCTGAGCATCACAAACTTTTATTGTACGATGGGAAACTCTCTAGTGCCATTGCCTTCACATATAACCCACGGGCTACAGATGCTCAGCTGTGCCTTGAGTCATCTCCTAAGGACAACCCTTCAATTTTTGTTCATTCGCCACATGCACTTATGCTCCAGGTACTGTTCTTTTAGGAATAGATCTAATAGAAATTTTTAATGAATCATTAAGGTGTAATTAGGTAGCATCTGTTAAACACATGGAATGTCGTGTTTTTAGTGTTCTTGCAGTTCCTATTGTGCTTTATTTTTAATTGTTTTAGAAAAGAAATCATTGAAAGCTTTATTGTGTTTTTTATTTTCCAAGGATGTGAAGGCAATTTTAACTCATTCCATCCAGAGCGCCATGCATTCAATTGGAGGTGTACAAGTGCTGTTTCCCCTTTTTGCACAGTTGGATTATAGGCAATATTTATCTGATGAGGTTGACTTGACTATCTGGTGAGTGCCTTTTTTGTTTGTTTGCTTGAGACAGTGTCTAATTATATGAATTTCTCATGGATATGTATTATAGTGAAACTATATTGTAGTGAAGTAATTATGTTTCATTTATTAGTTGAGAAATTTAAATGACTTTTCCATTCTCATCTTTTAAAAAATTCTTTTCTTTGATTTCTCCTTTTATACACAATTTGATATCTACTACTAATATATACGCTTAATAATGAATAATTTTTTCTAGTTCATTTTTAAGCAACAGAAGTTCTTTTTTTTCCTCTAAAAAGGAATGAGGTGTCAGATCTAGTATTGGCAAACTGCTATTTATTTATGTATGTATGGGATGTGTTGGTGGCTTTCTATGTACTGGCTAACTGCTGTTTATGTATACATGCATATGTATATATGTTGATGTCTTTCTATGTTGCTCAGGCTAGCCTCCTCAAACTTGATATCCTCCTTCCTTACCCTCCTGAGTAGCTAGGAACACAGGTTTGTACCACTATGCCTATCTTGCTAACTGTATATTAAAGAATTAAATTACCCTTGACATACTAACAGTCAAGAATTTATAGAAATTTAGTAGAATTTTTTTGTCCTATTTTAATACAGCTCAGTTCTCCTTCCTTCCTCCTTCCTTCTTTCTTCCTTTTTCCTTCCTTCTTCCCTCCTACCTCTCTCCTTTACTCCCTCCTTCCTTGCCTCCCTCCCTCTTCCCCCCTTCTGTCTTTTGTTTTTATTCCAACTTTTCAACATTCTTACTGAATGACTGGCAGCTACAACTCTGCAATGGAGGAGGAGACTGGCTGCCATTTTTGCTTTATCTGTGGGACTCTCAGAGCCTTTGAGAAGGCCGTAATAGGCCGTAATAGGCTGGCTAATCTTGTTCCTTTCTCTTTGTGATAGCTCTAAGTATTGTGGGTAGTACAGAATGATTATAGCCCCTATTCTCTTTTAAAATTCTTCAAGACTGGAGAATTAATGATTTTCCTGTTGCTAAAGTGAACATACTTCTTAAATTAGTGTTGAAGGTCCTCAAGTTTGTGTCCAGGTTTGCTTTTCTTTCTTTCTTTGCTGTTCCTGAACTCAAGGCTTTGTCTTGCCAGGCAGGTGCTCTGCTGCCTGACCCACGCCTTCAGCCTTTAACTTTACTTTCTTATCTTCCCTTCATGCACTGTAGGCCAGTCTGGGGGCTGACATGTTGAGGATTTAAACCTTTGTCTGTGTGCTCTTTTTCCTCCTTTTGTATACTGCTTCTACAGGTTTGACTATAATGCTTATCTAAGTTATTTATCATTTCTATTACTTGTTTTTTGGACATTGTTCATTTTTCTCTATATAGTACATGTTTATCATATGCTTTCTAAGTTACTCACTAATGTTTGTGATATAGTATATAAAGTAAATATTTGTGTAAATCTAGTCCTACATTAGAAATTTAGTTCAGAAATAGAACTTCAGTTCCTTTGTAATGGAGAACTTTTTTTTTTGTGATGTCTGGGATTGAATCCAGGACCTGACATATGCTAGGCAAGCACTGTACCACTGAGCTACACCCCTTCCCTGAAATGGAGAACGTCCTATTAAAAGATAAATGGAAGGTGACATCTATTTAACCTGATTTAAAAAAATAGAATAATCCTTTTCAAAACAGTGCCTTTTTCCTTATCCTAGTACAACCTTGCTGGCGTTCATCATGGAGTTGTTGAAGAACTCAATTGCTATGCAGGAGCAGATGCTTGCCTGCAAGGGTTTCTTAGTAATTGGATATAGTCTTGAGAAGGTAAAGTATGAAATATTTATGATTTTGATTCTTAATTTGCAGGCATGTACTTGTTCTTCTAAGTGATTAAGAAAATTTGTCTGCAAGTATGTTGCTTTGGTTTTAGAAAAATTACTTAAAATAGCATTTGGTTGCTTCCCCTTGCTTCCATTCCTCTATTAAAGAAGTGTGGTAGTAAGCCTCATGCCATCTTTAGCTTTGAGTGTACTTTGTGGACCAACTTTTTTTCTGCTGTTAACAGCCTTTAATTTACTTACCTTGCTGTGGGTTAGTAGTAACCTTTAAACATTTTTTTTCTCCCAGTCTTCCAAATCCCATGTCAGCAGAGCAGTACTTGAACTTTGTCTCGCATTTTCCAAATATCTGAGCAATCTGCAGAATGGGATGCCCCTACTCAAGCAATTGTGTGATCACATTCTTCTTAACCCTGCCATATGGATTCATACCCCAGCAAAGGTAATACAGAATTGCTTTTATTTTACTGTCTTTGCTAAGTTTTCTATGCCTGAGAAAAGTGATAATTAATGAGGATTTTCTTTTATCCTTTTACATACTAGTAGTACATAAAGTTTTTGTAAATTGCCTTTTTTGACCAAAGGTACATTTTTGCTTTTCAGGAATATTTGGAAGTAAATCAAAATCAATCTCTCTCTCTCTCTCTTGAACCATCGTTGATATTTAAAAAAAAATAGAGCTATAGTCTTTATTTTCTTATGTTAATATTTTATTTTATTCCAAGGGTGGAATGTTCCAGTGGAAATATCTTTCCTCACAGCTGTAGGTCTATTCCACTGCATATAAAATTCCATTTCTTAACAGATTGATCTCCACCACGCTACTTTTCTTTACACTTTTGCCCTATAGCAATGTGATGAACTGAGTTTCATTCTTATAGGTATTAGCTGAAATATTACCCTTTCCTTGACAGCATGATCAAATCATTTTAATTTTACATTAATTCAAATTATAGCAATACACTATATTTGTACCAACTAAATTTTTAGTACTGTGACAACAAACCAGTTACTGCTATGTGAATATAAATGAATTTGTGGTAAAGTAATGGACAAAATCTTTAATAAATCCTGGTGCATTAAACAGTCCTAATAATTTAGTAGTACTGTTATTAAGCAGATCTTGAAGTAGAGAAATTGGTTTTTTTTTTTTTTTTTTTTGGCAGTACTGGGGATTGAACTCAGATCCTCACACTTTACCACTTGAGCCACTCCACCAGCTCAAGAAATTCTTGATTACATTGCACAATTATGTCCACATTATCTATGGTTTTTGTTAGGTGTGTGGTATTTCAAATCCAAATCCATTATTTTCCCCTTCTTCCCCTCCCCTTTCATCCTCTTGCTGTGACTATCATTGTTTGGTTGGAATAGCACACACTTATTTTAGTTGTCAGCAAAAAATGCCTGCAGACTTTCTTGCTTCTCTAGAGTCATAATATCTTATTTTCAGCTGGTCTTTTCAAATGTTAAAGAGAAAAACAGCTGCTGACCCTGATTGCCATTTGGAAATAATCAGAGGAGGCAGCTGGAGGTTGTAGCTTTTTATCTCCAGGTTAGATTTGACCTCTTTCTTTTTCATGACCTTCAGTCTTACTTCTTTTCAAGGATTGTTTCAAGTTGCTTTTTAAATCTTTTAGTAGACACTTTTTTGTCTTACTAACCAGCATATTTTGTCTCTTTTGAAGTTGTCAGTAATCTTCTTATTAGATACTTAGTTGTAGGGGAATATTTTCTTCATTTCATCATATGATTTCTTTAGGTTCTTAATATTATTGAACTTTGTTTCTTACCTTCTCCTTTTTAAGAACATTTCTTAATTTCCTTTTTAGAATTTGCAATTGATACTAAACTTGCCTTCTGTTGCAGCTCTCTGTTTTGTACATCCATGAGGGTTTTATTTGCTTTTACTTTATTATAAAGATAGTTATAACAAGTGATAGATCCAGATTTTGTGGTTTGCTAGGGTGGGAGGGAGCTCTTTAAGAAAAAGCATAAAATTATAATGCATCCAAGACTAGCCTTAGATTTTTGGAAGGAGCATGTATACATAAGTGGTCATAAAATTTAAGCTTCATTAGCTTCCTAATAAATCCACCTATGGTTGCTAAAGTAAGTTTAAGGCAGAGATGTATGAATCAACTTTTGCTTTGGAAAAAGGAATCAATAATGTTTTATAATTTTCATTTATCTTAGCTCTGCTCAGAGGCTGTCTTTTTAATGACCTAGAAAGAGACTGGAATTTTTTTACCTACAATAGGTCCTTTGTTTTACTTAGTAAGTATTTGTTGAGTGACTACTTCATGCTGAGCACTATGGGTAGAGTAGAGAACAAGACAGACTTGATTCTTGCCCTCACAGATTTTAGAATTAGTGAGAAAGATAGGTATTACACAGTTTGTGTTCTTATTGGATTGCATAATGAGTGAGGGAAGATTTATTCACAATTGCCATGTTTAATCTTGAGGTCTTCACTTTCATTCATCTCTGAATGTAGCTATTAGGTTGTATTTTTCTTTTACCACAGTGTTTGCTATTCTCAGTAGACTTTCTCCAATGTTATGTTTCTTTGTCTAGTTTATCAATTTTCTGCCAGAATTCCTGTATGTTCTTAACATACCACTCTCATCAGATGGTTTCTTAGTCTCCCAACTTTAAATGGTTTCCTGTTATTTTTGGAATGAAGTAGTCCTTTATCTTACGTTAAGCCTTCGTGTCAATTCGCCTTTCTAGGAAGGTTTTCTGATTTAGACAAGATTGGGTGTGTTCAGGGTGGTATGGCCATAGAAAGGTTTTCTGAGTTAGAAACTCAAATATCCTCAGTGGATAGTCAGGTACCAAAGGTTCTTGAGAGCAGTGGTTCTCAGTCTTGGCTGTTGAGACAGATCAACTGGGAAAGGATTTTAAAGACAAAACTAAAATTTCACTTCCTCCCCCCAGATTTTGATTTCATTAAACTGGGGTGTGATTCAGGCATCATTATTTTAAGTGTTTGTTTATTTATTTAGTTAGTTAATTTTGGTGGTATTAGGGTTTGAACTTGTGCTTACTGGGCAGACACTCTTACCACTTGCGCCATACTCCCAGCCCCAGACATCTGTACTTTTTTTTCATGCCTTAACTGAAATTTTATTTTGCATGTGATGTCCAGTTTTTATTTTTTATTTATATATTATTTTTATTTTATCGTTTTTACATTTACTCACATATGTATACATTGTTTGGGCCACTTCCTCCTTCTGCCCCTCTGAGACATTTGTATTTTTAATGTGGATTTCTTTGGTTCTGAGTGTTTTCTAATATTGAGCATATTTTCTTTTTTTGAGCAGTGATGGGGTTTGAACTCAAGGCCTCCTGCTTACTAGGCAGGCACTTTACCATTTGAGCTGCTCTACCAGCCCTGACATCTGTATTAAAAAAAATATTTTCTAGGTCTTTTTAATACATATTTAACAATAAAATGAAAGATTCCTGACTTCAGTAGGAGAGCAGAATAAAATCGGTGAGAGCCATGATTTCACTCAGTTTTGTGTGAAGATGAAGTGTGCAGAGTGGTCGGGTAGCACTTAAAGTTCTTTTTTTTTTGGTGCTACTGGAGTTTGTTTTCAGGTATTAATGGAAATGGAGTAAAATGCTAATGAGCTTTTTTGATTTAACCTCTTCATTTTGGTTTTGTAGGTTCAGTTGATGCTGTATACTTACCTGTCCACTGAATTCATTGGTACAGTCAACATATACAACACTATAAGGAGAGTAGGAACAGTGCTTCTCATCATGCACACGCTGAAGTACTACTACTGGGCAGTGAATCCTCAGGACCGAAGTGGTATCACCCCCAAGGGATTAGGTAGATCCTTGATGTCCATTTGTTATGTTACTATGGCAAGCCAGGATTGTTTTGAAACCAGTAATGTACTATTTAGGAAGTTTTTCTAAATCTCATCATGGCAAAATTTTATTATAATCTCATTAACAGTTTTAATCATTTCTTCCAAATTGTGGTTGTCAGAGGTTAGTAATCTGCTACTTCTCTCATGTGAGTTGTTTGGGGAGCAAATATGCTAGGTTAGTTGTAAGGCATCCGAGCAAATGAGCAGAAACTTTTAATGAGTTACTGCTATTTCACTGAGATTATTTATCTCAGTGAGATTCATTGGAAACAGTGTTTGGGGGAGATGCAGAATTCTTATAGAAGTGGGGGGTATCCACTTCTAATAAAGATATAATGAAATTATAAAATTTCAGTATTTTCCTGTATCAGCAGGACTGAGTTACTAAACAATATTTGCCATGTCAGTAGTTCATGGAAAGAGTAAAAATAAAATTTGCATGTACTTTTACAAAATCTGCTTCAAACTTGCTTGTATCAAAAAAGAGAGAATAAAGTGGCACTTTGAAGTACAGTTTGGTGCAGGGGTTCAGAATACAGCTGTAGGACCTACTTTGCCTCTGTATTTGCTAATCGTTCTGTGTTAGTTGTTTTCATGTGTTCTCTCCCTTGGTAGTAGCAAGCAGCTAGCTTACCTTCATATTCTCACAGCCTTAACTGCAGCAAAAGAGCGTCTTCCTTTATCAGGTGTTTTCAGGAAAAGTATTTTAGTCTTCTTGTTGCTCATTGTCTGATTGATCATGTGCCCGTTGAAATGAGGAAATAGGGTCTGGGGCACCAAGCAATGTACATTCACTTGTAGTCAAAGGCTTGGTGAGTAATACAGACAGTTCTCATGCTTCCATATACTGTTTATGTAATCTTTGAAGTAAACTCAGGTTATTCTCAGAGAACACAGTATCTAAAGTTAGAAAGCAGTGAGGACACAAAGAAACGCATGATTTATTTAGGTTGGCAAGGATGTGGTATACTGAGCTATGGCAGAGCTTCTGACGATGCTTCCATGGTGCTCCAGAGTATCATGTTGTGTTCTGGCCTTCATTTTTTAACTAACTATTGACCTTGGGAAAGTCTCATACTTCAAAAGAGAGCTGGGCAAATTTTGTGATTTTGTTCTAACTCTTTACCCTGTTCTTTGTTTAGTAATCATCATGTGGAACAAATTCTAAACAATTTTCTTCCTTTTTACTTGGCCTATTCAAGGTCATGATGGTCCTGTTTTTCTCTTTGGTGGTCTAGGACCTGGCTGTAAAAAGTGATTAGTGGAGGAAAATAGTAGAATACATAAGGCAAATAGGTATCTAATTCAGGATCTTAGAATAATGGGTATTTGGTTTCACAAGCTTTGAACTTGGGAATTACATGCTTGAGACATGAAAATTGACTTAATGTGAGCCATGTGTGACCAAGGACTTTCTCAAGCACAGAAGGAGATGTCAGAGGCAGTCCGTATAATGTTCCTTTCTTTATGAACAATACTGTGTGATACAGCATAGTTTTGAGATTTTAATAACAGCTTCCACAAGGGACAACAGGAGAAAAGGTTGTTTTCATACTGAATTCACATATAATATTAAAGTTCAAAGTTTAGATTTTCTTTTTTTTTGGCAGACTTCTCTTACTGCGTTAACACTTTCAGAACAAAATATAAATGCATTTTATTATTGAATATAAATTTCATTTGTCACTTTTTTTTAAAAAAAAATCTTTTGACTTATCCATAGTACAAATTTGATTAGTGTAGTTTCAACATAACCTATTTTGTACACTTGGAATATTTTGTATATGATCGCATGAGAGATTAAATGCTTGTCTTTCAAGAGAAATAAAAGGGGCAATTTTTCTTGACAAGACTGATCTTTTATGTTTCATACAAATAAATGGAAAAGCTATTGGGAATGAGAATTTTATACTTTAGATAGCTGTGAGGTCTTTAAAATGCTAAATGGGTGTTATTTTTTTGTAAAGATGGACCACGACCCAGTCAAAAAGAAATACTTTCTCTACGAGCATTCTTACTGATGTTCATTAAGCAATTAGTGATGAAGGTGAGTTTATATTTCTTACCCTATGGTGTGCTGCATATTGGAGATGATAATTTCACATAAAATACCATTTTTTTAATTTATGGTATTGGGATTGAACTTGAGATATTGCACTTGCCAACCAAACCCTTTTACTGCTTGAGCCACATCTCTGTGGCTTTGTTTGAATTTTGAGATAAGGTCTCACTGAGTTTTCCCTGGTTAGCCTTGAACTCAAGATCCTCCTGCCTGTGAGCAGCTGGGATTGCAGGCATATACCACAATACCTGGCAGTTTTATTCTTCGTTAGTCAAGTTATACATTAAAAATTTCTTTGAAAGATGTTTGTTTCCTTATTTTTTTAGTTCTTGTTTCTATAAGTTGCTGGAGAATAAGAGATTGGTAATTGCAGTAATGTTATATAAATTTTTGTGTGAGTTCAAGGGTATTCCTTTTTTCATTCAGGAAATATATACTGAGTTTCTTTTAAATATTAGATACTGGCAGTGCTATAGCCAAGAAGCTTCTAAATGAGGTTTCATTGTTAAGGAACTTCTTGTAATTAAAACATTCATGTTTCAAGTAGTATTCCTGCATAAATGTGCCAAATAGGTGTATCAGCCTTTAGGAACGATCACATTGTATTATAGCTAAAGTAAAATTGAATATTATTTTTCAAGAAAGCATTTAGTTTTATAAGATAGCTGTATATAAGTGTTTTTGTTGCCAATATTTCATTCAATATTTCCTTAGATTGTTTTCTTTTTTATGATTGCTTTATTAGTTATCACATGAGATTATGGCAAGAGGACCTGTTTGTGTGTGTGTGTGTGTGTGTGTGTGTGTGTGTATTTGAAATAGGAACTTTGTTTTATGGTTAAAATACTGATAGAGTATGTTGAACATTTCCATTCTGAGCTCATTTTATTTTATTTTGTTTTAATTTTTATTTTATTCATATGTGCATACAGTGTTTGGGTCATTTCTCCCCCCTTCCCAAGTCCCCTCTCTTACCCCCCTCCCCCTGCCCCCTCTGGCTACCCGGCAGAAACTACCCTGCCCCTATCTCTAATTTTGTTGAAGAGAGAGTATAAGCAATAATAGAAAGGACCAAGGGCCTTTGCTAGTTGAGACAAGGATAGCTATATAGGGAGTTGACTCGCATTGATTTCCTGTGCATGTGTCAATTCCTCTTGAACTAACCTTTTCTCTAGTTCCTGGTCCCCTTCTCCTATTGGCCTCAGTTGCTTTTAAGGTATCTGCTTTAGTTTCTCTGTGTTGAGGGCAACAAATGCTACCTAGTTTTTTAGGTGTCTTACCTATCCTCATACCTCCCTTGTTTGCTCTCGCTTTATCGTGTGATCAAAGTCCAATCCCCTTGTTGTGTTTGCCCCTGATCTAATGTCCGCATATGAGGAGAACATACTATTTTTGGTCTTTTGGGCCAGGCTAACCTCACTCAGAATGATGTTCTCCAATTCCATCCATTTACCAGCGAATGATAACATTTCATTCTTCTTCATGGCTGCATAAAATTCCATTGTGTATAAATACCACATTTTCTTAATCCATTCGTCAGTGGTGGGGCATCTTGGCTGTTTCCATAACTTGGCTATTGTGAATAGTGTTGCAATAAACATGGGTGTGCAGGTTCCTCTGGAGTAACCTGTGTCACAGTCTTTTGGGTATATCCCCAAGAGTAGTATTGCAGGATCAAATGGTAGATCAATGTTTAGCTTTTTAAGTAGCCTTCAAATTTTTTTCCAGAGTGGTTGTACTAGTCTACATTCCCACCAACAGTGTAAGAGGGTTCCTTTTTCCCCGCATCCTCGCCAACACCTGTTGTTAGTGGTGTTGCTGATGATGGCTATTCTAACAGGGGTGAGGTGGAATCTTAGTGTGGTTTCAATTTGCACTTCCTTTATGGCTAGAGATGGTGAGCATTTTTTCATGTGTTTTTTGTCCATTTGAATTTCTTCTTTTGAGAAAGTTCTGTTTAGTTCACTTGCCCATTTCTTTATTGGTTCAATAATTTTGGGAGAATTTAGTTTTTTAAGTTCCCTATCTATTCTGGTTATCAGTCCTTTGACTAATGTGTAGCTGGCAAATATTTTCTCCCACTCTGTGGGTGTTCTCTTCAGTTTAGAGACCATTTCTTTTGTTGAGCAGAAGCTTTTTAGTTTTATGAAGTCCCATTTATCTATGCTATCTCTTAGTTGCTGTGCTGCTGGGGTTCCATTGAGAAAGTTCTTGC